AAGCCATTATATCTAATTTTGGATTTAACTAATTAATTAGATAATTTAATTATATATATATTCAATGAATATTCAATGAATTATTTGGTGAATAAATTAAATATTCGAATATTCAATTTGGTGAAAAAAATTTTATTCGAATATTCAAATATTCAGTGAATATTCGCATATACTATTCATCAGATCAAACCTCTACTTACCAGCTAGATTAATGTGAAATGAATAATTCAGATAAGTATATATATATATATGTTTCTGTTTTGTAAATACATTTTACTGTTCTTAATTCTATCTATCAATAAATATTTTTTTATTTACTGACTAAATTACAGTGCTTTTCAAATTACTGTAATCAGCAAAATTCATGCATCACACATCACAAAAAATCTGGAAATCAGGATTTTAGTAAAATGCAAGCCTGTGATTGGCTATAATGATACCTGACGAATGATTCACCATTCGTCATTGACGAATGACAAAATGTTTCGTCAAGGCATTTTTGATTGACGAATTGACAATTGATGAATCTTGTGACTATTGACGAAATATATGACTATTGATTTTTTATGAAAGAAATAAAATTTAAATTATTAGAATAAATTTAAAGGGTTTATTTTTAGGTCTGAACTAGAAATATGTCTCATTTAAGATATCCTAGCATAAATTTCACAATTCACATGAACTATAAGGTAAATTTAGCATGAGAAACTTACTTTATGTAGAATAAGAATAACTAATACGTACATTAAAAATAAGCTGAATTCATTAGCAGCATATTTTTAGGTTTCAGTAGTATGCTTGAATCATTGTTATTAAATCATATTATTCTTGGCATATGATTTGTATGCAAGATAGTTGAGAATTCTAAATCCTTCACTTTATTAAGCTCGATAATTTAAGAAATTTGTTTTTAATATGCTACTATTTTATGCATTATCTCTATGTAGAGATTGAGATTCTTAAATTTTTTGCATCGCATGTATGTACGTATGTACATACGTACGTACATATGATGTACTTTTTATGTGATGATATAATATTGTGTGAGATAAAATCTCTAGTTTGAGTGTTAGAGCATATTAGTAATACTTATTATATTGTGCAGATCGCCTTTAAAATAAATTTCTTCAACAAATAATCTGAATTAAAAAAAAATGCAGTGTAATGAACTATGCTGTGTTATATAAAAACTTTTGAAAAAAAGTTAGACAGTTATAAATTTGTATAAATGAAATTTGAGCGATTTAATAAAATGCTTCGTTTTTTGAATTTTAAGATATGTACGTGTATACAGTACATATAAAATTTGTAACAATATAATTAACATGCAATAGCTATACCTTATATATCGTAACTAGGAAATATTAGATTACTATTGTTTGGAACTCGATTGTTGAGGTTATGTAATAGAATATAATCAGGTGATATATGATGTAATATATTAGTTTAATCAGTAGAGTTTATTTAGCATGTGCATTAAATATGTAATCAGAGCCAATGAAATATAAATAGAATAAATGAATTAGTAAGCCAAAGGTTCTCTTTCTTGTAAGTGAAAAAAATAATGATAAGTAAAATACAAACCTTATATAAACTGAATGGGTTATGGTCAATAATGAAAAGTAACTATTACTTTAATTAAAAAGCTAGTGTAATGAAAGCGCAAAGAAAATATTTAGTGGAATTTACAAATAAGGGCCCGGAAAGTGAAAATAATTACAAATACGGGCTCAAATTAAAAATAATTACATATAAGGGTCTAATTTTTAAAAAATATTACATATAAGGGCCCAAATCTATTGATGACTGAAAAAATGTGATCGCGGGATTACTGCACCACAAAGTACTGACCATTTGAATTATAACGATAGCAAAACGTGATTATAGGATTATCAATTATTTAATTATACACCGATTATTAGATTGAAGGATAAATGAAGTGCTGGTTATAATCATTTTCGCTTAAATATTGTATAAAAAATAGTGTTAAACTAGCACAACTATTTATAAAGCGAAGAAGTTTCAACAGAGCAGCTCTTTAGAGCTGAACGAACATCTTCTATATTAATAAATATCATGCCAATTCATAGTGCTTTACATCATAGTGGTTTGTTATAACAATAAATAATTTTATACAAGAAAATGAAATTTATTAAATTTAACAAAAAATTACTTTTCTTACTAATTTACAATCGATAGTTACATTTTTTATGCGCCTAATAACTACATTTATCGATGCTTGCATTTCTTATGCTAATAACGATCAAGCCACAGGCTTGAATATCATCACAGTTATTTTGGGCCCTTATATGTAATATTTTTTAAAAATTAGGCCCTTATATGTAATTATTTTTAATTTGAGCCCGTATTTACAATTATTTTCACTTTCCAGGCCCTTATTCATAAATTTCCCAAATATTTATCTATGCTGATAAATATTAATAATGCTAGTAATAAATTATCTTGTTATAACCAAATTATTAAGACAAATTAAAGCTAGATTACCAATAGGTATAATCCTATATTAAACAACCGAAATTTAGTAGTTTTTTTTTCTTTGAATTAGACAGAGTTATGCATAATAAAATTTAGTAATCTCTAATCTTTTTGCATATAACGATAAGCTTATATACTGCAAATTTCAAACTGGTATCAACACAATTACATAAATCTAATACTTTGTATGACAAATAAAACAATTGTATAAATATTTGTTTACTCACGATTGTTTTTTTTAAAAAAAAACAATATTAATACGAATGGGAAGCAGCAAACAAAAGTCTAAAATAGTCAAGTCTTTATCACTTACTTCAAAAAAACAAAAATTATCATGCTCTTCTACCTTACCAGCAAATATTTCTAAATCGAATATGTTAAATGAAACAAACTCTGTATCTGAGTTAATTATATCAAATGAAACAAGCTTTGAAGGTCGTCAACCAGCACCTGTATAGGAATTTTTTCATCGAAAGCGAACCAAATCAGCTGGTCATTTTTCAGCCAAATGCAAATTTTGTCTAACTGAGTGGGGAAGAGGTGAACCAGCAAGGCTTGAAGCACATCTTGCACTAGAATGTTCTAAAGTAGAAGATCATGTCCGGCAAATCTATTTGCTTTGTGTAGCTCGTCGTGATGGTGTTACAGAAGAAACACAATCTGAAATTTTATTGGCTAATACTAAAAAACAAAGCAATAAGCAGTCTAGTATTTCAAATTATTTTTCACAAAAATTAGATAGTTTATCAGAAGGGCATATGAATTCTATAAATAGCTCATTATTAAAGGCCTTTGTAGTATGTGACATTCCATTCTCTGTTATAGACAATCCATTTTTTATCGATTTTCTTCAGAACCTATGTCCAAATTATAAGCCACCATCAAGTAAAATATTATCTGGGTGATTATTAGATCAGGAATGTTCAAAAGTTATAGTTAAACGTGAAAATATTTTTTATGGATCAAATAATCTTACTTTAGGTATAATTTTAATAATATATATTTAAAATTTATTTATTATTATATTTAATAATAAATTTTATTATTTGTAGCATTAGACAGGTGGACTTCACCTAATGGAAATTCAATTTATAGTTTTATGATTTTAATTCCTATGCACCATAAATACCTATACTCTTTATCAGATTTTTCTGCAAATTCACATATGGCTGAATTTCTTGTGGATAAAATTGAATTAGTTTTGAATGAGATTGGATGTAGTAAATTCTCAGCAATTGTAACTGATAACGCTAGTAATATGAAACTTGCTCGACAAATAATTCATGAAAAGCATCCAAAAATTTTAAATTTAAATTGTGTTGCGCACTGTGTAAATCTTCTTTCAAAGGATATTCTTAGTAAGTACTATATATTGTAAAATATATAAAATATGAAATATATTTAATATATATACATCTAAAATTTTATTATTTATATTTTAGAACATATATTTAGCTCACATTTAATAAGAGACTGTAATCAGATTGTAAATTACTTTAAAAAATCTCATCAACCTAATGCACATTTACAAGAAGCAATTCATAACTTACAAATTTCTGGTGGTGGGCTGAAAAAGTTTGTTGATACCAGATGGATTTCTGTATATGAATATGTTTTATCTGTTAGTAGACTTGAACGTGCTTTTATTAAGGTAAATTATTATTTATAATTATTTATATTAATTTTTTTAATATTAATTAATTTAATTTAAATTATTAGATTATGAACGATAATCCAGATCTAATTACAAATCATGAAGTGAAATGAATTTTAAAATGATCATTTTTTTTTTCAGATCTTAAAATCTTAATTAAAATTTTAGCTCCAATTTATATGACAATTTTAAACTTAGAATCACAGTCAACAACTTTGGCAGATTGTTTTGTACAATTCATTTATCTGGCGGCTGCCATTAAAAAAGTTCCAAGATTTAGAATTAGTGGATTTAAAAATTACTGTATGCAGACTTTTAATAAAAGATGGAACGATTTTAATTCAGATAATTATCTATTAGCATATTTTTTGCACCCAGGATATCGTGGTAAGTTTATATGCTTTTAAAGTTTAATTAAAATAAAATCATTTATTTATTAGGTGCTGGTTTACGTGAACAACAATTTCAAGCAATTGCCAAAACAGCAATTAATATTTGGAAAGATGAAGGTCATGATAAATATGAATGTGCAAATTTAGTTGCATATATGAGACAATTTAAAGAAAAAAAAAGATGGATTCGATTTACCATATAGCTTTGAAACTGATACCCCTTTATTATGGTGGATGACAAACTTTACTGGCACTAAATCTATTGGGCGTCTTGCAATTAAAATTTTTTCAATAACACCTCATTCAGCAGACTGTGAAAGAACATTTTCAGCTTTAGGCTAGTTATATGGAAAACGACGACAATGACTTTCACTTACTCGAATTCAGGCAATGGCACAAATCCGATCCTTTTATATCTCAAATATTCAAAAAGAATTGGCATTTTATGGAAAAGCATTACCTGTTAATAATTTACAAGAATTAGTAGCAACGTCAACTTTTTTAACTGAATTTGGTGATGATGATCCGATTGAACATTCTGAAACTGAAACCGAAATTGAACAAAATTTAGAAAGCATTAATTTTCTTAATATTGAAAATATGGTAAATTTAAATCATAATGCATTTCAAGATAATGAATCAGACAGTGAAAGCGAAGGATCACAAATTAGTAGTTACGAAGAGAATGATGAATATGATAATGAACCAATGATTAGTAATAATGAAGGGCAGTGTGTATTCGATTTTGATCCAGTAGATTTAGTAACAGATTTGGTAAATGTATGGGAGAATAGTGATACTGAAAATATCGAAGATATGTTAAATACGGAAATGTGTATAGATGATAATTTGGATGATATTTTAGATGAAGATGGTGAAAGACATATAGATTTTGATCCGGAAGTAGATAGTGAAAATTTGCCTATTGCACTTAGAAAGGCACGTCGTGAAATTTATAAAAGCTAGAATTAAGTTAGCTAGATTTAGCTTAAATCATAAAGATGTAATTAGGAATATTTGATGTTTAATAAACAAATGTGCTTAAAATATAACTAATATAGCTTTATATGAATTTTTAATTTATTAAGGGCCGATCATGTTTACTTAAATATATGCTTATTAAAATTAAAAGCACCAACAAATTAAATAGCAAAAAAGACTTTTTTCTTTATTTAGAATACGGCAATAAATTTTTATTAGTATAAAAAAATCTATTACGCATCAATTAAAATTATAATTTATAAAACTATTGGAACTTTAAAACATAAATTTGAAAAAAAAACTTAATATTAGCATTCAGAGGTTGCTACGTATAAAAAAGTCCGTTAAAAGTAAACTACTGTATTGTGTCCCAAAAAAACGCATAGATACGCGTTATTACGCATTATTACGCGTCAATATAGTAATTATGCTGAATATTTTATTGGTTAAATTGATTCGTCAAGAGTTTTATTAATCGTCAGGAGTTTCGTCAATCGTCAGGAGTTTCGTCAATCGCCAAGGTTTCGTCAAGCAAGTGTGCTGACGAAACAATTTCGTCATTCAAAAATAGTTTCGTCAGGAATCATTAATTGGCTGAAAATTATACCAGCCAAATGTATTGCGTATATTATTGGGGTGTGCGACATTAGTCTAATTACAAATATTGTGCAGGTCACATAACAATGATCATTAAATCAAGATTTTTTATAGTGTACTGTAGATCAGCGTTGATTTAATAGTAAAAACATAGAAAGCTTAAGCTGCAATAACTCTTGAACCAGCAAATATACACAAATAAAATTATATTTGTCTGGTTCGTTATAATGTGCTTTTTAACGTAATAACGCTCTTTTTTTTATGTTTATTGTTTGGAGAGTAGCGGGAGGGGGATAAAATAATACCAAAATTCTCGTTTTTGATATATTATTAATAAAAGCATCAAAAACGTATCTATTGCATATTGTGTCACAATATGCACAGAAAAATTCAAAGTTACATTTTTGATATTTTTATTAATCATAGATCAAAAACGAGAATTGTGATATTATTTTTATCCCTCTCCCGCTACGCTACAAACAATAAAAATAAAAAAAAGGGCGTTATTACGTTAAAAAGCACATTATAACGAACCAGACAAATATAATTTTATTTGTGTATATTTGCTGGTTCAAGA